TATTGTGCCATGTTTAACTAATTGTCTTCTTTCCCTCGATAGGCCAAGAGTCCCTTAGGGGTATCTCTGCTGCCTATGTGTTTGGAACATTAGTTTTACAAACTCTTACAGCAGATAGAGCCCAGAACGAATGCCGAGCTCCACACCAGTCTCTGAGCCACCACAAGATGCCTGGTGCAGCTGCTGGACCACCCTGTCGAAGGCACCTAGCTTATAAATGACTATCACCACCACGTAACATATTGCCCATAATGCATGACACATGGCTTTGATCCCTAGAGAAACCCTGTCTCTGGCTTGCATATCCTTTTCAAAGACCTTTTGTATTTAATTTGATCCCTAGAGAAACACTGTCTTTGGCTTGCATACCCTTTCCAAAGACCTTTTGTATTTAAAAGTCTTACATCCAAGATTGCAGAATCATATCTGCTTGCTGCCATGTGCCCTGTGCCTAGAGTAGTACCTGGCACCAGTGATACCAAGAAATGCTAGCGGAATGAAAGACTGAATGAATGAATGTATGAATGAATAGACGACACACATGCTTAGTTCCAGTTTGAGATTGGATGGGCATCTCACCAGGGAAGCGAATCCACAGGCTCCACTGTGCGCTGTGATCTACACCCTGCTTTAAAAGGAGACTTCACCACGTAGGACCTTTCTTAAGAATTTGAACAAAAAATTCTTCCTCGGGCAACCGCAGACTCAAGAGCTCACAGAAGGAAGGGTCTGGGTGTCCCGGGGTGGATGGAATGCCCGTGCTGTGTGTTACAACAGAGTGAGGAAGCCATGTGAGGCAGGGAAAGAGGCTCAAGCTAGAGAGGAAGAAAGCCTGTTGGTAGAGAGGCAAGCAGAAGCTGTGGGTCTGCTGAGGTCATGCCAGCCTTAAGAAAGTCAGAGAAAGAGGAACCGCTTGCCTGAATTCCTGACAACTTTCTTGGTTTGGACCCAGGTCAAGTGCACCCTGACTGAGGAGGGACCACCTTACTCACAGATGAAGCAGGTTTCTCGTGGAGCTCCCTGAGCTCACCCGACGCTTTGTGAGAAGATGGAAGGCACACCTTCTGTCCAGCTGCCAAGATGAGGCTATTTTCCTCTCCTGCTGTGAGGGTGGGATGGGCGCACACGTCTACACCAGATGTCTAGACTGACAAGGGCAGAAGATGGCCTGGCTGTCAGTCTACTGGTACCTGTTGCACCCAGCCTGTCTGTACACTGTCCAAACTGGCCTATATTTGCCAGTCTTACTGTTCTATGGCTGGGCAAAGACAGAAAGTAAACTTAAGACCAGATGCCCACTGCAAAAACTAACAAACACAACCCCCCTGCACTCTGAATTACACAAATGTGAAGTTAGCAGGTGTCCTCGGTTGCTAGCCTAGAGAGCGTTTCCATCTAGCCCAGAGACTATCATCTTGTTTTGGACAAGATTGAGTCATGGATCCAAAACAGTGTCTGTCCTTCACACATCTCTCCTGCAGCTTAATCAAGACTTGCTGGATGCTATTGAAAGGGTTATAACCTGGGCAGCATCCTGGCAGCCTCTGCTGACCAAACAATCCTGTGAGAAAAACACATCAAAAACAACTCACTCCCGTAAGGCTCTGAGTGAGGAATAATACTGGCAAGGTTGGTGTAAAGATTAAGAGAAACCCTAAGCACATACTGTGAGGACTTCAAGATTCCACGTTTGAAAATTGTTTTGCCAAGACATTATATTTTAGAAGTCCAGAGTTTGGTTAAACCCAAAGGCCTGTGAGTTTAAAACAAACTAAAAGACAAAAATCAGTCTGAGCTCTTATGAGGCAAAAGAAACCCCGATTTGACTTTTCAAGACTCCTTATTTGAAAACATTGGGGCTTTTATCCATCTTATATGGATTTGAAATTTTGCTGATAAAATGCATGTGTTTTATGTGGAAAAATTAGCTCCTGAATCCAAAAGTCATATAAATAGTCCCCTAAACTATGAAATATTTTCCTTTAGAAAAATCTAATGATAACCCAGGGCAATGAGGAAAGCAGGGGCTCTTAGGTTGTCTCCACACACTGATGGCACCAAGTAGGCCTTTAAAAATGATTGGCATTGGATGACCCTAATTACAACAGTTGACAATCTTAGAGGCTGAGTCTCAAGGATGGACCAGAAACTAGGGTGGGAGGTGGGATGATGGGTGAAGGCAGGGGAGGCTGGTCGTTTGTCTTGTAGTAGTTATTGTCTGATAACCCAAAAAGAAAATTCCCTCTTTCTTGTTCTTCTCCTCTCTATGGCATTGCCCTAGATGATTTCTCTCCTTGCTTGATGCTCATCCAGCATCAAGGACTAACACCAGGGAATTAAATCTTAAGAGTGTACCAAAGGATTATTCCACAACAATTAGAAGTGATCTTACAGGAAGAACTCTTTGACAGCCAGCTGAATCAGGATTGAATGAAAGGAAAAGTGCACGGGGGAGGGGGGGTTGCAGAAGGGAGAATGAAAGAGAAGGGAGCAGGCATCCATGCTTCAAGCTTCCTCTTGCCTAGGCCAACTCTGGTCACAGTATTCCAATATATTTCAGAGCCAGAAGCAAGTCTCATGTTTGGCTATGTTAGAGTCACCTGATGCCCAGGCTGCACCCAATGCCAATCATAGCAGAATCCCTGAGATGGATCCATCCAGAAGCTGTTTTATTGCTGTTCCCATCTCTCCAAATAATCTTACATATAGCTAAAACTGAAACTTGGTGTCTGAAAGAAAGACTTCTTAAGCCGGCTGTTGGTGGTGCACACCTTTGATCCCAGCCCTTGGGAGGCAGAGGCCAGTGGATCTCTGTGAGTTTGAGGCCAACCTGATCTACAGAGCGAGTTCCAGGACAGTCTCCAAAACAACACAGAGAAACCCTGACTCAGAAACAAAAAAAAAAAAAAGAAAGAAAGAAAGAAAGAAAGAAAGAAAGAAAGACTTCTTAGACTATAAACATCCTCAACAAGGCCACACCTCCTAATAGTGCCACTTCTTACGGGTCAAGCATTCAAACACAGGAGTCTATGGGAGCCATCATATTCAAACCACCACAAAACCCAAAGCATAGTTTTGAAAGTGGAATACAGCCTCCTGGAAGAGGCTCCTACCTGAGCACCAACACACTGCAATGTGGGGGCAAATGAGTTGGAAGCTGCCCCTTCTTAATACCCACTACATTGGTGTGGGAAAACCAGATTCCCTTGTCATTGTCACATAGCGCATGTGCACCTATGCACATTTAAAGTTCTCACTCTTGTTCTCCTGCATGCAGCTTCAGTTCCTATCTTTAAAAACAAAAACTTGAGACAGTTATGTTTATTTACCTACAGTCACCAACTAAACTAATATTCACCTGTCTCTTGGGGTCATTGGAATGGTTAATTAATCTTTTTAAAAAGTCCTTCAGGATTATCTAGAGTTCCAGTTCTGTTTGGCCCCAAAGCAGAAGGCAAAATTCTTTTCCACTCAACACGTTTCACCGAGTAAAATCAGAGGAAGAATCTGGATATGATTCTTTGCAGTGAACATCTCACAACCTTAACCTAATGATTCTGATGGCCTTTATCCAAGGTGATTTTCAAAATCAGAACAGAAACGACGTTAATAGTCCCTGAACACACTGGGTACCAAAGGCCGTATTAAGAAAGAAAACAGACGGTTCTGGTGTCGAGCAGAGTTACATAGCTCAAATAGAGACAGCTGGACAGAAATGTGTTCTTTCCAAACTAGAACTTGGCTTTGGGTAGAAATGAAGTTGAGTTCAAGACCATGGAAAGGGATGGGGAGAAGGCTCAGTGGGTAAGGGTACTTGACACCACGTCTGAGGCTTTGGATTCCATTGTCAAGGCCTGCAAATTGTCCTCTGACTTCTACATGCATGCCGGCATGTGCCTGCATATGCACATACACAAATAAACGGGGGGAGGGGAAGGTATCAAGGAAGGCATGATCCCAGAGCACGGGAAAGGTACAGCGGGCTTCTTTGTGGGTGTGTGTGTGTGGGGGGGTGTAGTTCACTTCAGCAAGCCCTTTCTTGAAGCTGGTCATCCTCGTGTTATCCATGACTAGTTGCCCGACTCCCGTGGAGCCTTCATAGGTTGAAAATTGTAAAACAACCGTGGAAACTGGACACATCAGCGGAACTAAAAGACAAAAGTTCTCCGGTTCTTAGGATATTTAAATAATGACTTAATTCACCTTATGTTTCCACAAGATATACCACACGATCGCTCCACATTTAACTACTGAGATATGAGAGACAAAGTTAAGCGATTAATTCTCCATCACACAGAACAGCCTGGGCAACACCAGGCCTCAGTGAAGTTCCTGGTTTTTGCCAGTCCTCAAAGGACACAACGCAGAGGCTTGTTCTACAGCAGCAATCCTGGCCCCAGGCTTTCCAGAGAAGAGTGAAGCAGATACACACACAACCAGGCCAAAGTCTCATTAACACCTTCATGGGTTCTCAAAGTCAGGGAAACTCTAATCCCAGGTCCTCTAACCAGCAAGCCCGCTCTTTCAGGAGCTGGAGAGAGTGGCTGCCAGAGCTTCCAAGCCCTGTACTAATCCCAACCCCTGAAGCGAGGGGACCACACCCTTTCGAGGGACCACAGTCAAGCCAAAGACCGGTTAGTTAGCTCGAGAACCAAATTAGCCCAAGAACCAAAGCCACCACCGGTGCCGCCTGGCGCCGCACAGCGGAGAGGGAGTCCCGGGGAACCCGCGGAAACCGCGTCGCGCTGCACCGGCGCAGGAGAGGCGCACCCACTTGGGCGCACCCACCGGGAGCCTGCCCCTCAGCCGAGGGACACCAAGCTTCTGCAGCCCAGCTGGAGGCGGCGATGTGGGGACAGCAGCTTCGTCCTTGCTCTCAGTCCCCCACCCCCACGGCTGCCCGCGGGCGTCCAGGGATGACAGCCACACGGCGACTGCCACCTGCCCGTGGCTAGCCCTCCCTGGGGGCCACCAGAGGCCATCCCCCGCTCCACCCTTACCTGAGCCGGAGATGTGGACTCGGAGCGGGCGGCCCCTGCTCGAGACGGAGGACAGGTCGCTCTGGGAACGGCCACGGGGACTTGGGTCCCCGGGTAGCCAGCGCAGGACAGGCACTGGCGGGCCGGGAGCCTCGGGCTCGGGGTCCAGATCCGCCTCTGCCACCGCCTCCTGGCCGGCTGGCTGGTCCGGGGACATCGCAGGACTCTTGCCGGCTTCCGCCATCGGCCCTAGGCTCCGGGAGGGAGCGAGCTCAGGCAGGGTGGGGCCGGCGCAGAGGGCTGCGCTGTCCGCTGCGGCCCCGCGTGGAGCCCCCGGCCGGCTGGCAGGGAGGGGAGGCGGCCGCAGGCAGCGGTGCGCAGCGCGGGAGGAGGAAGAGCACAGAAAAGTTTGCACAGGAAGGAGCCGCCTACAGCCGGCTCTCGCTCTCGCCGGTGACAGCCCCGGGGCCCCCAAGCCTGCTGCCCTCGGTGCCGGGGAACCTGCTTGGCTGCTCCACCCCCAAGCGCGGCCGCTCCACCGGAAGGCAGGGGTCTGTAGCCGCTGGCCCAGCAAGGCTCACCCAGCCGGCTTAGGAGAAGTGGAGTTTAAGCTGCAGAGCTGTGTTGCTGTGTTGCAAGGTCAGGGTTAACAGTACCATTTGCAGTCAGGCCGGGAGGGGTGGGGACACGCGTGCACACACCTGACGGCTCGTGATAGGACAAGGACCCAATGACGGTCATATGTAGTTTACAGGTGCGAGATACTGGCGCCAAAGGGCTCTGGGTTTGCCCTAGGATTCCTGGCAGATCTGCAGTCCCTTGTGAAGTCTGGTCCTTTGATCCTCCCTCTACCAACTCTTGCCCTCGTCAAAGCTCTGTCTCTCAGAGCCCTACATTCCCGGGCTTCCGTCTGTGCTGGGTCAGACTCACAGGTCGTGGTTTTTAAAAGATCGGTTTTCTAAGGGTCGAATTAGTGTCATAGATGTGATGTCTGAGTCGATGCTTTCCGATGGAAGAGCCGCTGAGATGACTGGCAGCCGGTGCCTCAGCAGCCAACAAAGGAGCAGTGATTGTGCTCATTGGAACGCCAGCTTTATCAGTTTCACGGTTAGGTACCCAAGTAGTGGCTGGCCCACAATTGCAAAGCTAGGTAGGGAACCATCTCTGCCAGTTTCTGACAGTGAGGGAGTGTTTCTGGGCTTCACCTAGGGACCATAGACAGTGGCAGGAAGAGAAGGAGACTGAGAGGTGAAGAGAGATCAGTCAGCCATTACAGCTACACACACACACACACACACACACACACACACACACACACACACACACCAGATGCTTCATCAAACACTTGGTATTTAACAATTTATTTAACAAGAAAACAAACCTAAGCATAAAGTAAAAGAGAAACAAAAACTAAGAGAGCAAAGCTGGTCAAACACAAAGATACCCGAAAGGCCTAGCAACTAGGTCATGGTGTTCACAGTGTGTCCCCAACAACTGAAAAAGGCTTGTTCTCACAGCAACTCTGTGTGTTCCTGTGTGGGATGGGGGTGGGGGTGGGGATCTGCTTACCCCAGCTTTGCTGTGAAAACTGTCCACATCAGATCCATTGTCACAGGCAGCCAAAGCCACCCGGGCTGGTCATAATTGTTTCCTGCTACCAAAGTCTGTGCATCTACACTACTCCAGAACCAAGTGAGTAAGTAAAGGTGCTGTCTGCGGCAAGCTTGAGTCCTTCAGACTCTGCCTCTCCATCCTTTGGTTAATCCTCTGTGTCATCTCTTGTGAGAATAAATAGTTAATCAAATGCTTTAGAACCCAAGAAGTCTTGAGTTCATTATTCAGCTCATTATCTAGCTGTTTAGCAATTCATCACTTCAACTTCATTTGACAAAGGTTGTTGAGTGCCTTTTATGGGCCAAACACTGTGCAAATACCTCTCGCCCTGTATTTATCCCTTAATTTCCCCTTCATCCCCACCATTTCCACACCCCTATTGCCGTGCCCTCATGCTGCCGTCTTCTGAGCATTCTTTGCTGGATGTATTGTGACTTCTGACTCCACTACGACATTGAGCAGCATTGGTAGCGATCAAATCAGAGCACCTAGATGCCCATGCCTTGGAACTTCCCGTTGCTACATGTTCTAACTTGAACATAATTGAACACTGGTTTCTTTCCGAACCCTGCTTTCCTGGTTTCTAGAACACTCATCTCCCCTGGTGTGATTCTAGCCCAGTTTCCTTCTCATCCTCTTGCCTGCATCCCTTCGTTCCATCTGCACTAGGATTGCGTTGCTGACTTCCAGCAGCAGTCCTCTTCTTGCCTTTGACAAGCTTTGCTGGGAAAATTTACCCATGAATTTGAGGTATGCCACGACAAGTTCACAATGGCCACCTCCATCTCAGACTTCTCCCTTAGCTCGGGAACCCAGCATCCGGTGATCTATTGGGCCTTCTTCGTTCTTCCCTCCTCCTGCTACTCCCCCTTCTCCCTTCTTTTCTTCTTTATTTCTCCTCCCCCTTTCCTTCCTACTCCTCCCTTCCCTCTTCCTCTTCTTCCTTTTTTCCCCTTTCCATGGCATGGGGGCCGTAGGTGGTGTTCGTGTGTGTATGTTTACAAGTTGGGGGCACACATGTATAGATGCAAATGTACATGGGTGATAGCACCTGTACAGGCTAGAGGACAGTGCTGAGAATCATGCTAGGTCATTCTTCTCCTTCATTTACTGAAACAGAATCTCTGAGGCACCCAGAGTACTCTGTTGCTGGTGGTTTCTTTCCCCGCCAGGTTCTGCAGCCACCTTCCCCCAAATGAACACACAGAGATGCTATATTAATTATAAAATGGTTGGCTGATGGTTTAGGCTTCTTATTGCCTAGCACTGTCTTAATTATTAACCCATTTCTATTCATCTAGGTATTTTCACATGGTCTTGGCTTACAGGATATTTCCTGAACCTGTTGGGTTACATGGCATCTGCTGGTTGGCTCCCTCTGACTACCTTTCCCAGAATTCTCCTTGTCTCCTAGTCCTGTCTATCTCTTGCCTCATTGGCCAAACAGTATTTTATTCATCAACCAATAACAGAAGGACATCTCCCATCAGTACTCTGATATGGCTGGTCTCTAGTCAACCTGTTCTGTGGATCCCTATCTTCCCTGCCCCCATCTTCAAAGGCTGGAGCTACAGGTGGGTTGCTACGATCACTCAGAATTCACATGGGTTCCACTCTGGGGATCTAAACTCTGGTCCTCAAACTTATGTAGCAAGAGTTTTAACCTCTTAACCATTTCCCAACCCCTTCTTCTTTTGGGACAGAGTCTCACACAGCCTAGGTTGACCTGTAACTTACTAGTAACCACTGACCTCCACAAGCTGGGGGCTGGGTTATATGCCACCATACCTGCTCTATGCGATGCTGGGAATCAAACCCAGGACTTTCTGTATTCTTGGCAAACATTCTACCAAATGGGCTACATCCTCGTCCCCAAGCCTCCATTCTTGATGTTTTCCCCACACTTCGAGGTCAACACACCAAAAGCTGAACTCTCTCTCCCGGGCTGCTAACCTGTTCAGTCAATTCTTGACATTAGGAATCACAGACTCACTTTCCTCCTGCTATTTATTATGCTGGCCCTCTTCAGCTGGGATTTTAATCTTCCATTTTCTCTCATGGAAACTCGCAGCCTCTGCAGTCACTTCTTTCTACTTTAACCTTATCACAGCCATAGAACGATCTTCTAACATAGCTCAGAGGGCCTTCTGCCCCTCCCCTCCTGTAACTTCTTTCAAGAAGACTTTGACTGACTGCAGCTGAGGGACCTAGCATGTGTTTAGCACGTGTGAGGTCTTGGCGTCAAGGCCCAATATGAAACAAAAGAAATAAATTCTCCGAAAACAAGTATGCAGGACATAAAGGTGACTTTCTTGTTTTCTTTTTGGCCATGCTAACAAGTGTTCTGGTATTCTGCCCTAAACTCTTTTCTTGGAGCTGTCATACCTACTTTGCTCGATAACCATGCAGACTCCACCATAGTTCCTGAATGTGACTTGGTATCGTGTTTTCTGGTGTAATACCTTTGTACTCCCATGTTTCTTGGCCTTTGAGTGTCATTCCCCCATCTTCCTAATTGTGCTTCACTGGCCATCGCTATCCTTCAGCCCTCAGGACGTGTGTGCTCGTATGAGCAGCTTTGCTGTCCCTGGCCTTCAGGTAACCCACAGGTGCCCCTCCCGAGCAGCACCACAAACCCACGTGTGTTTCTCTCAGCATCACTTCCGCGTGAGATTGCACTTTAACAGGGGCACAAAGCTGTCTCCCCTACTGCCTCTGGCCTTCTAGCTCTGAAAGGGATGATTCTTGCCTTTGTTTCCCCAGTTCCACTCTGGGTTCAGTGAGTCTAGCAGTGAGGTCTTTGGGGATATAGACATTAACAAATAATTACTAGTAAACCCATGGCAACTGGCATACTGAGCTGTAGATGAAAGGTGACATTGACCCCAGGAGGAGCAGGTGCCTAGACTGTCAGGGGAGGGTTCTTAGAGGAAGTGATGTCTAAGATGCCAAGGCATCTTAGTCACTGTTCTATTGCTGTGAAAAAGGACCAAAGCCACCCTTATAAAGGAAAGCATTTAATTGGGGGCTCGCTTACACTTTCAGAGGCTTAATCCATTGTCACCATGGCCAGAACCATAGAGGCACACAGTTGGACTTGGTGCTGGCAAAGTACCTGAGTTTTACATTCTGATCCAGAGAGAGAGAGAGAGAGAGAGAGAGAGAGAGAGAGAGAGAGAGAGAGAGAAAGAGACCTGAGCCTGACATGGGCTTTTGAAGCCTTCAGGGACACACTTCCTCCAGTGTGGCTACACCTCCTAATCCTTCTAAACCTGTCAAAGTATTCACTCCCTGGTAACTAAGCATTCAACTATATAAGCCTATGGGGGTTATTCTTACTCAAATCACCACAATGGCAAAAGCAACTTAGGGAGGAAATGGTTTATTTCACTTTACTGTTTACAGTCCATCATGAAGGGAGGTCAGGATGGGAACCTAACGCAGGAACCAGGAGGTAGGAAGACCATAAAGAAGCGCTTTCCTACTGGCTTGTTCCTCATGGCTTGCTCAGCCTGCCATCTGCCCATCTGCCCATGTGCGGCACCACCCACAGTAGTAGACGGCCCTCCCACATAAGGAAAATTAATCAAAAAAATCCCTATGGACAAATCTAACGGGGGCATTTTCCTAAGCAGAGTTACCAGATTATCCTGGCATGTGTCAAATTGATGACAAGTGAGTAACTAACAAAATAAAAAATTAAAAAAGGAAGGAAGGTAGAAAGGAGGAAAATCTAACCAGGAAACAGTCTAAGACCCGACCATACTACTTTGAGTGATGGATCCAAATGAAACAAAAGCTCGCATTTGTGCAAAACTGTGAGAGCAAATGTTGATGGTACCATTATCAGTGCTCACCGAATCAGAAGACAGCTCAGTAGGCGGAACCATACAGGGAGATGCTAGGCACAACCTTACAGGGGAATGATAGGCACAACCATGCAGGGGAATGCTACTCAACACCAGGAAGATAAGAACCATTGCTGCATAATGGA